AGCCAGGGACAGTGATGGACAGACTCGCCACGTGTGGGTGGAGAGGGCAGGCCTGGGCGCACGCGTACAGCGTGTGGCAACCCATGTGCCAGAGGAATAAATATATCTGTTTTGGTAATGCTGAAGGGGTCTCCATGCGTCCCAGGCTGGGACCTCAGCGCCCTTCTGTATGTTTGTAGTTAAAGGTGCTGCTGGTTACAGGCCCTTACTCTAAGTTGGGAAGTCATGGGGTCCCTTTCTTCCCCTGCCCTCAGAATTCTATGCTCCTCTCCAGGGAAAAGACTCAGGCTCCCTTAAAAAACCCAAATTTTTATTGGATGGTCCTAAAAAGGCTCCTGGGGAGTGCCTGGGGAGCAGGGGTGCCATCCTCTGCACCCAGCCCTGCTGGAGAGCTGAGCTGGGCTGCATGCCGGCCCATACCTGCACTAGCAAGGGCAGCACCTTCAGCTCGAGCAGTGAGCCACAGCTCTGCTGCTTTTCCTGCAGGGCTGCCTGCAGCCACCGAGGAGCCGAGAGCGCAGGTATCCAGGCACCAACACTGTCCAAACAGTTGTCTGTGGCTCTGGCTCTGGTCAGTGGTTGTGTGCCAGCACCCACCTTGGCACTTGGGCCAAAGGGAGCTGCAGTGGTGGAGCAGGTCCCCTGTGCAGTCCCTTGTGCGGTCCTCTGCCTGGGGGAAGGGACGTCTGCAGCACCCAGGCCTCAGATGGCCAGGAGCGGTGCATGCTGCTCAGTCACGCAGGGAGGCAGGTCCCAGCTCAGGCCCGTCCCGTGGGGCAGGTGAGGAGAGGGCAGCAGGACGCGGGTGAGCCAGTGCCTGTGGGGAGAGGAATGAGGCTGCAGCAGAAAGTTCATCTCAGTGCTTCTCAGCTCTGCAGAGCTGAGCCAGGGCTGCCAGCACCAGGGAGAGATGTAAGCCTGAGTCCCTGAGCTGCCACGATGGCCGGGCTCTCAGCCAGGGCTCTCTTGACAAAGGGCTGCTGGGTATGCCAGAGCTTGCCACCAGGCAGGGTCTGGAGCCACAAGGCAGCTGATGCCTAGGTCCTCCGTACCTTGCAAAGCCCAGAGCAGCACACAGCATGGGACACTCGCTGTCCTGCTCTGTCCCAGCATCCCCATGTGCTGCTGAGCCACAATCATCCCGGGCAGGGGTTTCCCCAGGGCTTTACCTTGGCACATCCACACCCAGGAACACCTTCCAGTTATCCCAGCTGCCGTAACTGTAGGGGTTCCTGAAGACCTGCAGGCCGGGGAGACGCACATGACATCTGGTTCTGCCCTGGCCAGCCCTCCCGCGCCGCGGGCTGCGCTCACCTTGCCTTTCTTCTGTAGCCTCTGCTTCTCCTTCTTGTTGATGTGCCTCTCGATGCTGGTTTCCCCACGAGTGATGAGGGCGGCATGCCACAGTGTGAGGGCACCCAGGGCCAATGCAACCGAGCTGGGGACAGCAAGGGACAGCAGGCTGCACCCAGGCCTGCCTTCCCTGGTGCTGCAGCTGTGGGGGACTGAGGCTGCCTCCTTGCACCTCCAGCTGTGTAGGTGGGTCAGCTCATCTAATCCCTCATGACAGAGACACGAAATCTCTCCTCTGTGGCCTAAGAGCTGGCAGGGACATTTGCGCCACAGCAAGTCAGGCCAGCCCTGGGAAGGTAGAGGGTGAGCAATGTCCCAGGGCAGGGGGCTGCACGCTGCTTCCCCCAGTCCCTTCGCTCCCAGTCCCCTCGCTCCCAGCCCCTGGGCCTCCTTACCTGCACAGGACCCAGAGGTAGACCACGCTCTTGTGGAAAGCTCGCTGGCGGAAGGAGAAGGTGGGTGGTGGGGTCTGGTAGTATGTCTGAAAAAGGACCAGAGCGGGCGAATTACCCAAACTGCTTTATGGCTTGAAGCCAGACAAGGGGGACTTGCTGTGCCTCTCACTGATGCAGAGCTCGGACAGCTAGAGAGGACTGCAGCTGGAACCAACGCAACAGCCAGGGTGCTGGGGAGGCAGCCGCAGACAGCCATGAGACAGACACCTGAGGGCTGGCACATGGTGAGAAGCAGTGGGCTGGAAGTAAGGGGGCAGGGAGCAGCCATGGGACTGGTCAGGACACCGCACCACACCACAGCTGATGCTCTGGGCGAGATGCGTACGCACTGCTGCAGCTTCCCCACGAGAGCAGTGCCTGAGCAGCACATGCCAAGCAGCTGCCACCAGCCAAAGCCCCTGGAAGCCGGGTGCACAGGGAAGCAGACCCCAAGCTTGCTGGAGGCAGTGCCCATAGCAGAGCTGCCCGGCCAGCCCCAGCTCTCTGACACGAGAGGAGCGCGGGGGCTGGTTCTGGCTGTGGGGTGCTCCTGGGGAGCAGGGCCACAAGCAGGACCCAGCCTGCAGGGCAGCTCTGCTCCACACTGCCTGGAGCAGCTGGGGGCCAGGGATGTCCCACCTGATTGGCAGCCACCTGCAGTCTCTCCTTCTCAAGCAGTTTCATTCTCTAGGGGGATGGAAAACAGGGTACCAGTTACTTGTCTCAGAGGAGAGGGCCCTTCCCCCTGACCCCTCATAGGACCAGGACAGCTGGGGACCTCACAGGAGGAGGGAGAGGGGAAGCAAAGTCACTAGAAGGCCAGGCCTGGCCCAGCCTTGTTCTGCAAGCTCAGCCTGGGGAGGCCAGGCAGCCTTGGTGCATGGCAGTACGAGGGCAGGGGCCTGCCTGCTCACCTCAATGGCTGCGTAGGCATCCCGACCCAGCCGCTGATGCTGCAGTAGATGCAGCCCATGGTCATGAACAGGCAGAAGGAGAAGAAATAGCGGTGGTTGTAGTGTCCCACACAGTTGTTTAGCCAGGCTGCCTCTGCGGTTAAAGGTATGTAACCGTGACAGACCGCAGGTCCAAACCCACCCCAGGGACCAGCGTGGTTCTTCTGGGCCTGGCCCCCAGCACCCTTCCCTGTGCTGGCTGACTCAGGAGAGGAGTAGGGCAGGGAGAGAAGGGGGAAGCAGAGCCAGCTCCCCCCAGAAGAGTGCCGTGGGTTAGTACTGCAGAAGGATACGGCAGTGGTGGTCCATCTTCAGCACACACCTGGATGGGAGGAGAGCAGCACCTGTGTCAGTGCCAGCACAAGTTCTGTGTCTGGGAGGGGGCAGGTATGACAGGCGAGGCAAGAAGGTGGCAGAGCAGAGGAGGAAGGGGCCCCAGTCTTGCAGTGCAGCGGGGGGAAAAGGAGAGGGGTCCTGGAGGCCGCCCCAAGTGCTGCAGTGGGCAGAGGGAGGGAGCCCTACCTGTTGCAGATACTGCAGTGGTGGGTGCGAGCTGGCTTGGGGGCAATGCATTTCCTGCAGATGGAGACGCCGGTGAGATCGTCCTTGGCCTGCACACAGGTCAGAACAGATTTGTGCACCCAAGCCCTGCACCAGGCCCTGCTCCCCAGGCTCCTCGCATCCCCTGTGACCCCCCCACCTCCACAACCCGCGCTGCCCAGCATAGCTGCCTGATCTGGAGGAAGCCTCCTGCAGCGATGCCACTGCGCTGCTGTAGCTGTTCCCAGTGATGGGCCATAACTGCTCCGCAGTGCCCAACTGGGAGAGGCTGTGCTGCTGGTTGGGGCTTCACCTGAGGTGGGTGCCCAGGCGAAGTGGTGATGGCCATGTAGTAGTGGAAGACAATCATTATGAGGTTCCAGTGTCCGTAGGCAAGGTGCCAGCAGATCCAGGCAGGCGTGTAGGTCTGCAGGATGAGGGGCAGCAGGCAGATGTACACGATGGCCACAATGGAGCTTGTCAGCCCAATCACCAGTGCCACAAACACCTATGGGAAAGCAGTCTGGGTCACCAGAGTGGGCAGGGTACTGGGGACAGGCACAGGCAGGGTACAGCCACAGGAAACCAACCTGAACCACACACTGAGGTGCCCACTCCCTTCTTGCCTAGAGCACAGGCAGCCCTGAGACTCAGTTGCCCCAGCAGCATGCTCACCGCAGCCCCCAGAGCTGGGTACCCCACTGCCCAGTGAGAATACTCACCACGCCAAACCACCGGGTGACATGGTCCACCAGCCAGTAGATGGGCTCAAAGAGAGAGTCAAGCACCACATCGCTGTTGGTGAAGGAGTTGTAGAGCAGGGAGTGGAGGCAGAGGTGCCCATAGTGCCACAGCTGCTCCGCCTGCCGCACCAGCTTAAACCGCCGCCGCCGGCCCAGCCGCAGGCACTTGAGGAGCAGGCGCATCACCGCCGCAAACATCCGCTGCCAGCTCCTCATCCCTGCCACACCACGCCTTGAGGAAGAGGAGCTCAGCGTGGGCAGGCCACCCTTCTGCCTGGCTGTCCCTCAGGGTCTTCCCTCCCGGACGTGCTGATGCTGGTCACACAGCTCCCTGCACTGACTCCACCGGACGCCTGCCTGCACAGCAGGGCAGGGGCCTCTCCTTCGTCCTGCACAAGGATGCAGAGCAGGGGGAGCTGAGCCCTGACTCCTGGAGGCCGGGAGGCCACTGTCACTGGGACGGCTCTCTGTGTGGAGCAGGGGGCACAGGCCCCTCAGCGTCTGGGCTCAAATGCTCTCTGGTCCCATCTCGTCTTTCCTGGCAGGGAGGGGGCCGGGGGAGCGACATGGAGAGTCTGACTCTGAGGAAACCAGAGAAGGGACGAGCATCCATGATTCTGGGCCAGTTCCAGGGATGATTGCAGACCCATCCCATCCCAACAGGTTTGGGAACAGGGGAACCCACACAAGATGTATGCAGATGACCTGGGCCAGGATTACCCCTCTTCCCCTAGTACCTCTCCTCACACCCAAAAGCAGGCCTGGATGCTACTTCCCTTCACCTCAATCTCTGGACCAAGCTGCAGAGGCCACCCTGCACCTTTCCCAACCCCCAGCAGCCCCACTCCGAGAGCCCCAACAAGTCCTCCTTCCCCCCGCCTGGATCCACCTCGGACAAAGCCGTGCACCAGTGAAGGGGCAGTCCAGGGGCTGAGGCAATGCTGTGCAGTGCTCCCCTGCCTGCTGAGACTCTCATCCCACCCGAGAGCTGTGCCGGGAGTGAGGAGGAACCCGAGCTGGCCCAACAGCCAGAAAAACGATCTGCAATGCTGGGGCCCCCTGGCCTGCGTGCAGGCAGTGTGCATCAATATTAAGCGGTGAGGGTGCCCCGGGGTCCTGCCAAGGCACATTCTGAGCCTGGGCCTAGCACTCGCCTCGGCACAGTGCCAGGCAGCGGTGCCACACCACAGTGTTCCTCCAGCAGACACTGGCTCCCCGTGCTGCCATACTCACTGCACAGCCCTTGGGCAGCAGCAGGGAGAGTAAGGGGCTGCAGCATCCAGATGAGCTGTCCAAAGGAGCTGGGCTCCCCGCCTCTGCCCTGCCAGATGAGTGTGAGGCTGAACCCAAGGCTGGAAGCAGCTGGACACAAGGACATCAGACCCACCAGCCCACCTCAGGTCACAGGCATGGCTCCTGCCTAGGTTTCCTGTACCCTGGTAAGGGGGAGGTGGGGTATGCAAACCCCAGTGCCACCCCCTTCCCCACATTTTCCCTTCACTCTGCCAAGGAGTTCCCTCTGAAACACATCAGGTATGAAGCGGAGTAACAACTTTCTGCTGTGCAGCCTTTGGGTGGCACCCATCCCCATGTTGTCAGTGGGGTAAGAGGCAAAATGCTGCAGCCAGCAGCAGGTCTTGGGGTCCCCTCCAAACACACAGCACCTCCTGACCTAGCTGGCTCTCCCCTCCCTGAGGCTGCCAGCTCCGATCAAAGAGGTATCCTTGCCTATGACAGCTGGTGGCTGCTGAGCAGGGAGCCCACAGGGCAGGCAGCCAGCTTGCCCATACTGCTGGGGCAAGAGCCAAACCCCCTCTCTGTCCCCCAGTACCTGCCTGCAGACAGCGGCACAGCCACAGGGACAAGGCTCCAGCAGAGCCATGCACCTTCCTTGGCCCAGTCAGACACTGGGGGTCCAGCCCTCACTCTGCCCACAGCGCTCCCCACATCCCAATGGGGCACTGAGCCCACAGGGATGGGACGGGACAGGAACCACCAGCACAGCCAAGACCACAGGCAACGTCACGACAGGGGGAACCTTAGATTTGGCTCTACCCCAGCCACAGCCAGGGCCCT